AAAAAAAAAAAAAAAAAAAAAAATAAAATATGAGAACCATAGAGAAAAATTAATTTTCTAATCTAACATATATTGATTTCAATCTAAACAATATATAACAATATAAAATAATATTATTTAACCCTTTTGTTACATGTCAGTATCGTTTCCACATAAATTTGTATATTATACGTATATATAGTGTCATGGTATGCGAATCATATACGAATTTATAGTAACGAAAGAATTAATAATTATTATAAATATAAATTAATATTTCAAATAATATTACAATACTATATTATAAACTTATTCATATATATATACTATAAATAAAAATAAATGATATACCTCAATGTTATAGGTGGAAGATGAACAATTGTACAACAACGGTAGTACGGTTTTACTTTGATCATTAATTCTGGCTGTTAACAATGTCACGGCACAAGTTCGAGTTATGAGAAATGCGAACGAACCGAAGAAATATATGCCATTTACAATGTGCCCTTCCATAGGTCCCCTTCGAATAATAAAATAATAAAAAAAAAACAGAAATAGAAGAAAAAAAAGAAACACGCAGAGATTAAAAAAAAATGTGCAAATTTTGTTCATTGTCCGAAACAAGTAAGAAAAAAAAAAATTGTATAAATTCGTGTAACACATGTGTAACATAATATGATATGTTAAATTGTCGTAATTAATGATACTTACGATAATCCATTCAATAATTGTAAACAAATAAAGTATAGATTATTGGCGAACGATAGGAGTATTATCGGTGATATATCGTTGTCCACTTTTTTCATCAATGAACTTAGAATAGCGTAATCGCATCTAAATTCGCACCAATCAACCGTATTAGCATGTTTTTTCGTTAATACGAACAATCTTTTGTTAAGTGCTTTATATCTTTCTGCCAAACCGGTGGATATCTACAAATTTATATATATATATACTCGTTGAAATAATAATAATAATAATTAAAATTAATTAATTCATTATTGTTTTATATGAGTTTGCATACCAACATGACGAATAAATCGGTGAAATTCCACACGAACGTTGCCAATTTGCTAATTATGAAAATATAAATACCAATGGCGAAATTGTATTCGACTAAAAACGAAATCGTTCGATTTTTAATTTGAAAAAAAAGAAAAGTAATTTTTTTTCATTAATTTAAAGTGAAATTATATTTGAAAAAAATATATAGGCTTACTTATATCGAAAATAAAATCGTGCGAGGTGGTGATGTAAATGCGTAAAAAATTTTCAAACGTCGAATTAGATTTTCCCCATTCGAAAGCTAAACTATTGTTAATTATACTGAGAATATGTTCAAGTAGAGAGAATAGGAATACGATGATACTTAAGATTAAAAATTTCAAACGTAGCCGTGGTCTCAAGGATTTGTTGCTAAAAATATATATATATATATATTCGAAATTAAATAATCAAGAGATTATTAATCAATAAAAATAATTCAATAATTTTTCTATTAAAACCTGTCTATGAATCGTTCCATTGCGCTCCACTCATGTTGAAGGATTACCCAACGTGGCGACAACCAAAGGAACATGATCGTTCCGAAAAAACCATTGCCATAAAATATTGCACCGGCTGTTGCAGCTGCAATGCCACCTGAAACATGTTATAAACAAAGTATCATAATTACTTAGATAGGGTGTATTCCAAAATTTCTTTTCTTTTCAAACACGTGTTTCACAAGAATACAATTTGATTTTTAAGTGTGGAGGGGGGGGGGAACGATTCGAGATGATTTTTTTAGCTTTGAAGTTTCGTTTTTTTTATTTTTCTCTTTGGATGTATGTCATGTTCATTGAAAGCTTGCTTGGAACGAATTATACTTTTTTAGGTTTCCCCAACGTGTGAATAAACAAATCATTTTTTAAATAATAGAAATTGTATGTTGAGAAAAAGGGGTTGGGTAAATTATATTGTTGTAAATTAAACAATAATAATTTAGATATATAATATTTTGTTAAAATCTTTTTAGTTGGAAATTAATTTTTAACTAAATTACAGTTTCCCGGATGTCAATAATATTTTTTTAAATGTATTAATTAATTATTTTCCTTTAGTAAAGTACAATCTATTCTGCATTATTATATTTTTCTATATTGTTTCTCTTGCTCGCAATCGATTAAAAATTAATAAAATATAATATTGTGCAAGTAAAATTACTAAAAAAAAATTGTTCAAATATTATTCGAATAACAATAATCCTTACCACGTACTCCGAAAGCTTCCGCGTTGAGTGTCCTAATCATATGAATGACCGATAATGTCGCCATTATGAATATCGAAAAAGCCACAAGTATAGTATAAAATGTTCGAAAAGAAATCTTTTTGAATTTTAATTTCGACGGAGTGTCGGCGCTTATTCCAGTAACCGGAAGTAAGCCGAAAAGTTGCGCCCACCATAAAATCGAACTGATAGCACGATGAAAACTGTCTACGGAGTCCTAAAAAAATGTACATTTACAATTTCGAAAAAAACAATTATATATTTGTACAATTAACTATATAATTAATTAATTATATATTATAAAAACAATTACAAATTATTATTATTACATTTAGAATACTTATAATTAAATAGGATCTTACCTCGTTATTGTTTACAGAAGGTAAATTATCTACGTCATCATTTTGAAGAAATTGCCGTGCCCTTAACGGCAATGCACCGTCATGATTGGTTCTCGTTCGACTATTAGTTTTACTCCTTCTCCGATTTCCCAAAACCGACCAAATTCTGCAATTAGTTTTAGCAGAATCCCCATGGAAAATATTTCTCGTTTTCAACATGGTGGTATCAGCCTCCACGTATATACGTGAAAAAGCAACCATAACCTATTTAAGAAACAACAACAACGAACGTTTCGTTTTATTATCAACAGATACCTACATAATTTATTCGATTTATTTATTTGTTTGTTTAATCAATTATAACAGTTACCTGGTTATCTACATTTATGCGTGTATCCATACATATATGGAAATATAATTAATAGCAATTATATCGTGTAGAATTACCTCTGAATTTTGATGATTTAATCCTATAAAATAAAAAGTAATTATTGTTTTTTAGCACGAATACATTTGTATTTGATTACTTGTCAACAAAATATTCTAACATTTATCTCTAGCAACATCTATTTTGATAATAAATATTTTTTAACAAATCTACAAAGAACACATACACACACACACATATATACACGCGTACACAAAGACAGGACGCATACGCATATTATTTGAAACATAATTTATATCGGAGTATATTAAATGTATTCTTCTCATCTTTCTCAAGCATCGTATTATCGTAAAAATGGATGAAGTTGTTGATATTGAATTAAATTGTAAAACGTACAAATGTTCTTAATAATCAAACAACTTGTATAATAAAATTGTAATAAAGATCAAAAGGATCGAGACTAATGATTATGCTAACTTATCACGAAGTTTGATTAGACGTACGTTTATTATATTTTTTATACATACTTTCTTTTTCTGTTTTAATTATGCATTAATAGATTTTAACGATAATTAAATGATAAAATAATATACGCGAATATAATAAATGATAAAAAGTAAACAATACAAATAAATAAGTAATTAATTTGATTTTGATCTTTCCTTGTATTTGATTGTACGTGTAATATGTATTTGATGTCACCTCTTGAATAATTTCTAATGATAAGATGTTTGATTGATGCTAAAAATTTATCGTACGATCAGGACCGAAATAAAAGATGGTAGAATCTATCTAGATATTAATCTATGTATCTGAATCGATTGGTAGACCCTACAATTATATATATATCACACAGTACGCAATAAGTGAAATCGAGAGATTCGACTTTTTCTATTCACCATAGTTTAATATTTTATGTATATTACATAAATATATACTTTTTTTGTGACAAATGAATTTCCACGTACGCTATTATCGTTCGGAAGTTTAAAATTATTCTAAAAAAACAAACAAACAAACAAAATAAGTCAAACGTACTGATAAATTTTCAAACGATCTAATCATATTTTCATATGGTAATACAATTATTATATAATTAGTATTCATTTGAATATTCAAAAGTGTCCATCTATAGTTTATAAACAATTCCAATGGAATATTGTTAATCACATTAAATAATGTTAAAAATTAATAACTTCTTTTTTTTTTTTTTGACATATTTCATGTGTTAACGTTAAAAATAAATATTAATTTGTTCGAAAATCTAAATGGTTTCAAAATTTGTCTGTGCACAAATGTTAAAGAAAAATGATCTATAATTTATATACGAGTTTATAATGCAACTGCAAATACCAAATTATTTTTTACCAAAAATTTGTAATCAACAGTATTTAAATTACCCCATAATATATTCATTTAGATGAACAGCATTAAACTAGAAAACATTTTTAATCGTGAACAATAATATTTCGTGAAAAAAAAGGAACAAATACACACAGAAACATTGCGATCGTTGTTTATATTATTCATTTCTGATCGTCATTCGAATTTATCGATTTTGCAATACGGTACTTTAGGGAAAAAAATTCGATTCGATAAACAAAAAAAAACAGAAAGAAAAATAATACGAAATAAAAGCCAATAACTGTATTGTTCTTTCTTGTTTTCCCCAAAAAAATAAAAAAATTCCACAATTCACAGGATGACGTATAGAAAATATAACAATGTATGCACTTAGAATCGATAGGACGATTCGTTATCATTCGATTTAAAAAAAAAACCCGGTCATAAATTTACTTATGTTGTCAAGATATTAAAAGTAATTTAGTATCTTGAGTATTATCCTTACCGCGTTCTACTAATTAACTTATTAATTATTTATTATTCCATTCTATTCCATTTCGTTCATTGCAACGTACACAACAACAATTCTAGATAAAAAAATACGATTATAATCTTAATTTTCTTTCTACTATACCCCCACCCCCAATCCCTTATTAATAACAATTAAAAAAAAAATAAAAATAAAAAAGCAACAGGCTCTTAGCGTGTGTGTATCTTTGCGTTACGATCTGTTTTAACATTTTACGATAATAATCGTTAAAACTTTGTTTTTATTATAGTCAACTCCTTTATTTATCCAGAATATAAAAAACGTACGTGTAACTAAAAAAAAAAAAAAACGAACGAACGAATGAATGAACGATGTTCATTTTTAAATAAATCATCTTACTTACAAATATTACGATGTTGTTTTACGTTCCATTAAAAATGTTTTTATTTTTCTTTTTTCTGTTTAATTTAAATCACAAAGACGACATTAATCGTTTAATTCGATGAGAAAATTGATGATACACATTTTTCTTAATGGGGAGTATCGAAGATAGGTGCAACAGGTCAAACATTCATCGAGTAATGCTTTTAAATGACGAAGAATGAACGGCACCTACTACGAACCTAACTGTAACAACGTGAAATAACGAATGAAAGGTAACACTTTTGATTTAAGAATAAACGAGCCCTCGAGTCTGCGCTATGTGCGTACACGTCCGATCTAATAACTATCTCTACTACTTATCGCGAAATAGAAAACAACATCATACTTTTATTATATATTTTCCATTATATATATATACAATATACATGCATATAGTAATATATAGTAATGTATAGTATAGTAATATAGTATAGTAATATAGTATAGTAATAATATATAGAAATATATAATATAATAATATATATAATACTTATATATATTAAATTAAATATAATAATCAAAATATTATATGAACATTCAATAGTAGATTTAAAGTGAATAATTAGTTTTTATATTTCTATCTTTGTTTTTTTTTTCTTTGCCATCGAAAATGTGCCAATAAAACGCGCAAAATGAATAATATTAAATTTGATGATTGACAAATTTACTTTCATACTTTAAAAAATTAATGAGTATAATAATTCGCTCGTACATGCGTATCGTTGCTTTGCACTATCCCTATACTGATTGAGGTTTTGTATGAATGACCCGTATATAAGGGTTGCTAGTAACGAGGGTTAAACTAATTATTGTTCTTTTTTATTTTTTGTATATTATTTATACGCGTAGTTCGTTATTTAATATTTATTCAAAATTATTCATAATGTAAATATAACTGATTATTATTATTATTATTATTATCAATAATTGGAATCGGTTGTAAAGTAGAAAATATTTTCAATATTTCTAATCTTTTGAAATCAACTTATTGAGTGATCGTAATTTTTGCACGACTTGGTTTCTAAATGTACCGAGAAAGACAGTTTAGATATATGATAATAAAATATTCATAGATGTCTAACTAGTTTACAAACAACTCCAATGGAATTATTATGGATCATGTGATACGATAATGCATCGTTATAAATAATATTTAAAAACTAATGACCTTTTTTTTTCTTCTTCTTCTGTAAACTAATGTTGTACTATTATCATCGATAGTAAAATTCTCAGTAATGAAATAACATAATTAGTTGAGGAGCGGTCTAATTAATTGTTTCAATTCAATTAGTTTTTTTTCCTTTTTCTTTTTTCGATAAATTCTACAAATTTACTTTTTCTAACTTATTCCCATAAGTACATAATGTTTTTTTCTATCCACACTTCGATCTTCAACAAATATTTGTTTATTTCACGTTAACACGTATACATTTTATATTTTATAATTTATGTTATATATCTGTGTCTTCGATTTTATTTTAACAAATATGAAAGAAAATTTCTTGAAATGTAATTTTACAATCATATTTGAGAGAGAGAGAGAGAAATATAAATTCCGAAGACATTTTATTAATATTAATTCGTGAATAATAAATTCCTCGATATAATATAAATTCAAATTTCATATCGTGTACGAGATATCGATCTTCGTAATAAAGTTTTGTCGATAGGTTTCTCAGTGCCATCTAACCGTTGATTGTATGAAATTCTAAAAACTAACTTTTATCTTCCGTCGGTAAGAACGTATATTCTTTTTTAGTAATTTCAGAATAAAAAATCAATTTGTTTACACGAATAAACAAACAGATAATACAACAATTTATGAACAAGATGTAAAACTTACATAAGCAATTGTATAAAAAATAAATAATAATAAATTTTCGAATTAATAGTTAACAAAAATAAAAGTACAAGAAGGATAGACTAGTAATGGAATTATTTCAAAGGAGAGAATTGGATTCCGTAGCTTCTTTATTCATCTTTTACTACTCATTATTATCGTTATTCATATGTACAGAAAACTGTTTTTCTCAACCAATTTATTTTGCAAAGTGTCAAAGATTTAAAGTGCTGAGTTACTGCAAAGATATTGTTCTGCTCCTGCACATAACACGATTCACCATCACCACATAACAATAATTTCACGTGGATCGAGTATAAAGAAAATTATTATCGATAAAAAGCAATAATGTATATGTATATATAGTAGTAGTATACCTTAGTAAAAAAGTTATTTTTACGTGTAGTATATGAGTACGTAAGAGTCCATAGTTTGTTTGTAATTTGTATATTTCTGTCTGTAATTCGAATACATTTATATTAAAGGCAGAAATTTACTTATACAAATAAACATATGGGACACTATGCAACGTATGTACGTATATCTTGAGCACACAATCAGACTGTTACCTAATCTTATAATTGAAAAAGATGAATATTTAAAGAACCGGTCCCGTACACCTAAACGAAATCTATCCGAATCTACTACACACTGCATTATAATATTCCGCGTAAAACTTAAAATTAGAGATTTGATCACATGAATCGTGCTTACCTTTGTGCTTACGCGGATTTATGCAATTAAAAAGTTGAAAGAACAAAAAAGAAAACGATATTTAGCAGTATTAAAGGAAAAGACAAAAAAAAAAAAAAAAAAAAAAAAAAAAAAAAAAAGAGAGACACCCCGCTAGAGAGAGAGAGAGAGAGAGAGAATGGAAGCATTTTGGATAAAAAGGATGACGATGATGATTTCATTCGTTAGCAGCAATAACGACAAAAAATATAATAGTAATGAGAAAAATGTNCGTAAAACTTAAAATTAGAGATTTGATCACATGAATCGTGCTTACCTTTGTGCTTACGCGGATTTATGCAATTAAAAAGTTGAAAGAACAAAAAAAAAAAAAAAATTTAGCAGTATTAAAGGAAAAAAAAAAAAAAAAAAAAAGAAGAAAAAAAGACACCCCGCTCATAAACTTCGCGTAGTAAAAGAATGGAAGCATTTTGGATAAAAAGGATGACGATGATGATTTCATTCGTTAGCAGCAATAACGACAAAAAATATAATAGTAATGAGAAAAATGTTGGTTTAGCTTTGTTTTCTCGAATAAGTCACAGATATAGGATTTTATTATTTCCGTATAATAATAATAATTAGAAAATATAATTAAGCCGAGCTAAATTATGAATTTTCTCTTGATGTGTTTTTTGTTATTGTTTTTCATGTTGTTGTTGTTTTTTTTTTCCCCCAAAGAAACTCGTTATCGCGAGATAGCCTTACGTAGTTTGGACTTCCTCTTAGATTCATGTAAATCGTACAAGTTAAGGAAGTGCGCGCTTTAGTTGTTAATGTTTTTTTATTATTATTATTATTATTAATATTATTATTATTATTATTAATCGATATTAATAATGTTCGTAGCGTATATATATATTTATATATATCATATAATTAATTTATACTCGTAGCCTTTCCTACGAAATTCTTTACGATGGAAGAAATGACGAAGCGAACGCTTTGATAAACGAAAGTTACGAATACCAAAGAAACGCGAGAAAGTTTTAACAATCTGGACGTTAGAAGATTTGGAGAACCCGTAACGTCGCGACCCTTTGTTGATTCTGCTCTCGTTATTTTTCTTAACGGAATGCAATTTCATAGGAAATGCCTTGATTACTGTTGTTGTAGTAGTAGATGTTGATGTTGTTGTTAACGTTGACGTCGAGCATAAAAACTTCCTCTTATACGAAAGGCATGAAGAAAGAGGAGCAACTACCTCAGCTACAAGAGGCCGGAGCCCATCCGGCGATACATGCATACGGAAACTAGTTATTTCTTTTTCTGGGCCTTCTCGGCGGCCTTGGTGACTTTTCCACCCGTCGTGTCTTTGAAATTGACAGCCTTGATTACACCGACTGCCACTGTTTGACGCATGTCACGTACTGCGAAACGTCCAAGCGGAGGGAACTCTTGGAATGCCTCCACGCACATTGGCTTGCTCGGCACAAGATTCACTATTGCTGCGTCTCCCGATTTGATGGATTTTGGATTCTCCTCGGTGGTTTTGCCAGTACGACGGTCGCACTTCTCTTTTATCTCGGCAAACTTGCACGCGATATGGGCAGTATGGCAATCCAATACAGGAGTATAACCATTGCTGATTTGTCCTGGATGATTCAATACGATTACCTGTAATACAATAATCAATTTGAATAATTTTCATTTAACCATGAAATTTTCTCTTTAACATTTCATATTAATTTAAATATATTCCATCATAATATAATAATATAAACTAAAATATACCTGAGCAGTAAAATCGGCTGCTCCTTTTGGTGGGTTATTTTTCGAATCGCCAGCGACGAAACCACGACGCAATTCCTTGACCGATACGTTCTTAACGTTGAAACCAACGTTGTCACCAGGAACAGCTTCTGGTAAAGCTTCGTGATGCATTTCAACGGACTTGACTTCAGTAGTAAGACCAGCCGGAGCAAACGTTACTACCATACCTGGTTTCAATACACCAGTTTCAACACGACCGACTGGTACCGTACCGATACCACCGATCTTGTACACATCCTACAAAACAAAGATTCAATTTTTAATAATCTTCGTTATTAGATATTAAACATTATAAAATTTAATTTATAAAAAGATCAGACGTCTCTGGCCGTCAATGGACAAAATGTCCTCTGGTGGAAACCGCGAATGAGTTTAAAGTGTTATCATCATATAAAAATAATTGTTTTTTGTACGCATATGTAAAAGTTATTTATTTATGATTAATAAATTACCTGAAGTGGAAGGCGGAGAGCTTTGTCTGTTGGCCTGGTTGGTGGAAGAATAGCGTCAAGAGCTTCGATGAGGCATTTACCTTCACCCTTTCCTTCTTTACGTTCAACGGTCCATCCCTTGAACCAGGGCATCTTGCTGGATACTTCTAACATGTTGTCCCCATGCCAGCCAGAGATTGGTACAAAAGCAACTGTTGCTGGATTGTAACCAATTTTCTTAATGTAAGAAGAAACTTCCTTTTTAATTTCTTCATAACGGGCCTCGGAGTAAGGTGGTTCGGTTGAATCCATTTTGTTAACTCCAACAATAAGTTGCTTAACACCAAGGGTGAAAGCAAGCAGAGCATGCTCACGAGTTTGTCCGTTCTTTGAAATACCAGCTTCAAACTCTCCCGTACCAGCAGCTACTATCAATACTGCGCAATCAGCTTGCGAAGTACCAGTGATCATGTTCTTGATGAAATCTCTGTGCCCAGGTGCGTCAATGATTGTGACGTAGTATTTAGAGGTCTCGAACTTCCAAAGGGCGATGTCAATAGTAATACCACGTTCACGTTCAGCCTTCAGTTTGTCCAAAACCCACGCGTACTTGAAGGAACCCTTGCCCATCTACAATATAAAAAAAAATCAAGTATGATTAAATTTGTTCCTCTATATTTTGTTCTGTGGAATTAATCGATTAGTCAAATGATTTTTTTATATGCTTAAAATAATTGCTATCTCTTTACTATTACTATTAAATTCTATGTGACACTCAGACGTGAATTGGCCGTCAACAGACAATGTCTTCCGGTGGAAACCGCGAATGTATCCAAGTTGTTATCATCACTGTGCCATAAGTAATGAACAGTAACAGTGAGATTATTGCAATTATATGAAATAATTATAATTAATAAATGATGAATAAATAAAAATAAGGATTGATAACTTACTTCCTGGGCTTCCTTCTCGAACTTCTCAATGGTACGTTTGTCGATACCACCACATTTGTAGATCAAATGTCCGGTGGTGGTTGATTTACCGGAATCTACGTGTCCGATAACGACGATGTTAATATGTACCTTCTCTTTACCCATGATGAAATTTCTTTTTCTGTGATATTCTTTAAATTATATCTAAGAACAAAAAAACAAAATCAATAATTAAAATAATGAAATATTCAATTGGTTATTAAGTATATTTTAATGTTAAATAAAAAATTTGTAAACCAAAAAAGAAAAAAAATATCCCATATACTTTTACTGTAAAAAATTTATGATAGTAGTGATAATTAAGTGTTCAGTAACCTATTTCACCAATTTATTTGGTTATTGATTTCTTCTAATAATTTTTCATTAATCTAATAATAAGATAAAAGTAAATTCGCAAGACTATAGTTTCACGAAATATATCACTCCTCTTTTTACTCCCGGCCCACGTGGCGAGTGTGAATATTCGAGAAAGAAACCGGCCGCCATTTTGTTGAAGGCTAAAAGCGCTGCTGCCGGTGCAATTCTCGTGTTCGATAGTCACGAACTGCATAACGGTCCGATTAAATTTTTTATTTTTTACTCACGTAAATATATGCATCGAAACAACGTAAATCTTTTAAACCCCAAATTTATATCTTATTCAATCAAGTTTTCAACTTTATTTCGTAATTACTTTAAGACTACATGAAAATTGTTTCAACCCTCCCCTCTCCACGTTTCGGAATAATAAAAGATAAAAAATAATTATCTTTTTATCCAGATAAGAATTCCCAATTGAGATTATGAAATCATTTCCAGTACTGCAATGAGTTCATTTACTATCTTGATTTATATTTAAATTATTCGAAATACAAATGAGAAAAATTTAAAAAAAAAAATAACAAAAAAAAAGACAAAATAGAGCGGCCATTATCTGGTTATTTTATAACGATCTTTTAATAATACTCCTATACACGAAAAAAAAATCGATGATGATAAATATGGATCAATCTGTGTCATAAATTGGCTAATTGTGAATGTGCATTGAACGTATAATGCAAATGGTAGAGGGAGGAAATGGAAAAGAAATTGAACGATCTTAGATATTCTCTCTCTTTTGCGGTAAAAAAAATTGTAAGTGTACAATATGGAACGAATTAAACTCGAATAATAATTTTGTGCATTACTTTATTGCTGCTACGAGTTCACAGTCTTGTTTTTCTATTTTATTTAAATTTTCTTACCGAATAAAACAACGCTGAGTCATTACTTAAAAATGTACAATTGGAACATACTAACACAAGTTTCTAGTTACTTCTTAGTCTATTAATTTTTTTTTTTTTTTTATATTTTATCTTTTCTTGCGCAAGATCATTAATATGAGCACACGAGTATTCGATAATAAAAAAAAAAAAAAAAAAAAAAAAGAAAAAATGTTGCCGCATACTTTTCCTTTGTATTTAAAACTACGCGAAAATAGTTATTTTTTCCTTACCAGGAGAAAAAGCAAAATAGATCAGTTTCTTTCTTTACTTCGAGAAAAAAGTATTTCACGTTGACGATGATAATGAAAATAACAAAATACGGCACCGCACGCGATTTGTTTCACGACCGATACTCGAGACGACTCTGTGACATAGGAAGAACAATCATGGCGCATCCGGTTTCATGCTCCTGTTCTTTTCACCGTACCTGGCTTTTATCCCTTTCATATTCTCTATCCCTTTTTCTCTTATTCTCTCTTTCTCTTTCCCCATTTTCCATAAAATGCGAATCCTTACTCTCTTTGTACAATTTCTTTAATTTTGTTTTTCTTTTTTCAACGAGTATTAAAACATACGCTAACGAAAATGTCGGCTTTTTTGACCTTTCCGTACATTACTTATTTCTGGAACAAAACAGGAAAGATCTAAAATACGTACGTTAAAACAATCAGTTTTACCATCACGAGGATTTCGAATGAAACAAGTTAAAAAGCCGGCAAAGATATACTAAGAGAGAAAGAGAAAGAGAGATACAGATAAAGAAGACGTACAACGAAACTTGGGGCCACGCGCCTTTTTTACCTCCTCTACCAAACCAAGGGCCGAGATTTAGGTGTAAAAATTTCTTACCATCTCGTGCATTTAGTTAAAAAATCATGGCACAACACAATTATCCATATATTATCGCGTTGTTTTATCCCCTACCTGATGATCGATTTAATTAATAGCACTCGAAAATTGTTGGATTATCTTAACTTATATGAAACACGACAACCACTCACCTCTAGATGCCACGACAGAAAGAGATCGTCCTTACGAAGTGACATGCGCACACTGGTTACCCAGTCATAGCCTCGACGGCAGCGCCACCATCGTATCGATCATTTCTTCCAAGAAAAATGTATTTTAACCTATCGTATTATACAATTTTCTTTTATACTTTAATAGAATCTGTTTTTTACGAATTTATTTTTTATATTAATTAATTAAAATTTATTTATATCTTTATTTTGGATTAAAATAATAGAAAAATATGGTGAATTTTATTCGATGCCGATGACTTTTGGGTTCGAGGCTACGGTTACGCGGCAACACCGATAGGCGTGTCTTCCACCGGCATATAGCCGATCATAGAGTACCTTTATTCTTGTCTTTGGCTCGCTACAAAAGACGACCAATCAGAAACGTTCGATAGATCGAAACGGAAATTGTATGTAAATAAGAACGAAAGAGAGAGCCAGTGTGAGAAATTAAGAGAGGGAGTAAGAGAACGAGAGAGAGGGAAAATAACGTGCCGATATATATAACGTGCCAATAAGATATATATATATATATATATGCATATATATAATGAGTTCACTTACGATTCAGGGACGTATATAGTTATATAGATTATCGAGTTCATTAACAGGGTCTCGAATTTGTCGAATTATTACTCGGACAATATATAAAAATTATTTTAATATTTAATGAAATTATAAAATATTTTTTTCTTTTTCATATATAATTATTATTGTACTAAGAATTTTCTTAACAAAATATTTTTAATAATTAATATAAATATACACGTAGAGGTGTGTGCATTTATATTTACTGCATTTTGCAAAAGTACATAAATTCGAAAGAAAATAAGAGTCAGAATTGATTGGTAATCTTATTAAAAAATCGTATAGCAATTTTTAGTCTCTTGTCTGCATTTATTTACATTCTTACAACGAACACAATAGCATACGATCAATAATACGATAACTGAGAAGTGCGATAAAAAGTATTAAGTAAGAAGAGATGGAAAAATTCGATTTTCCTCAATGATGTCGCCATTGATTTTCTGCGAAAGTATACGAGATAAAAAATAAATACAACCAAAAAGGTATTTGTGACGTCCCACTACAATTTTCTATATAAATTTTTTCACAATAGTGCAACCAAACCACGAGTGTGAGACTAATGTAAATCAGTAGATTATATAAATAAAAATCTAAGCTATTTCTAGTACATAAAAGATAGTTAAGGTTTATTCTCGTTTTTATAGTTACAAATCTCATCAATTAAACATATTTCTTCTTTACCTGATATTGAAATAAAATATTGAAATTATCCCGCGTTTAAATGGCGGCTTTAGTTCCTAGCTTATAGGCAACCCGTCGTACATCGGTGAAGAGTTAAAAAAATGCTACAGGTGTTCGTGCAAATTTTCTAAAAGTCAATCTAATTAAAGGAATATTAATCGATGTTGTTAAAAAAAAAGAAAATATTTATTCGTTAAAAAAAAATTTTGTTTGAAATCAAGTAACAATAATAAAAACTTCGTAAATCGATAATTAATATTACGATAATAATAATCTGCTATTGTTTAACGAACGAATGAAATGTTTTCATTAAGATAATCAATTTCGTTAGAAATTGAATACTGTTATAATAAAAGGAGGTAGGAATTTTCAATTCCTCGTAGAAACTTTCTATTGATCGACTTCCTGGCGATTGAAGAAGAAGGATCGAATGAACAAAAGAAAAGAGAGACGAATATATATTTTTTGTTCCCAGCCCCACCATTATTCTTACCTTGAGAGAAAAGATATATATTGTATTTTCAATACAAATATATATATATACTCGTATATATACTTAAATACACGAGGGTGATTGTTATTTTACAATTGATAATTACAACCCTGAGTTAAAAACATTAAAATAATAACATATTATTCGATCGAAATGAAAAAAATATATCCGACGAAAAGAAGAAAGTATTCAAAAGTAATTTGAAAGTGTTTTTTTCCAATCTTAAATATTATTTCGACAGGAACAAAAGGATACCTTTTAATTATTCGAGATAAAGAAGAAAAAGGAACAGAAATTAAAAAGATTACTTTTCTACCTTTTCTCTCTTTCATTTTCTATTTAATTCGAGTCGAGAGAAAAGAAATAGTTTATTCATGAAAAATTCTTGACAACAATTTCTAACAAAGACCACTTCTAACATATAAATGAATAACTTTCCTTGTCATTATACAAAAAATAATATTGTTTTTTTATAATTGCAATTAAGATTAAAATTATAAAATATTACTGACACAGAAATGACGATTAATTCTTTCGTTAGGGCGTGCTTCGAATGAATATCGTTGCAAATAAATTTACTTCGTACGAAAGTATATCGTTGCACGGTACAACGACCCCTATATGGGTCGGTCGGTCGTTCATACGAGGTTTTTGCACGGACGACAAGTGTATGGGGTCGACATTAACGAAATAGTTCGAAATCAAAGGGGAAAAATTAATTCTTAATGGTGTCAGGATTATTAGGAAAGCAAAAAAAGAAACACACAGCTCATATTTTCCCACTTTAACCGTCTATTTATATTTCAAGATTCCTAATGACAAATCCGATCGTACAGACACTCGCACGTGGAAGCGATGTGTGTGTGTGTGTGTGTGTGTGTGTGCTTTGCGTGTGTATGCGTATGCGTTCGTGTTTTAGTGTGTATAATAGTTCTTCTAAATTCTTGGAAATTGAAAAATAACTTCTATCGTCGAGGAAGAAAACAGAGAGATATACACCATGTAGAAATGGACAATAATTGCATTTATACCCATTATTTTTTGTTTATAATGCACGGTAGGTGTACTTTAACGTACACCAACCAATGCGCCACATACACACATACCAGGAGGCGTAGTTTTGTTTAAATGTATACTCGAAGAATTATGGGCGACGGTGTATAGTTACACGTAAACGTATTATGACTCTTCTTTTTTTTCTTTTTTTTTCTTTTTTTATCTTCTTCTTCTTCTTCGTTTTTTTTTTTCGTTACAAGTAAAATCGTTAAATCTCGTATTGGGGGATGGGGGCAAGGAGGAGGGGGTCGGGGTAGTATAGAGGGGCTGGAAAAAGAGGTAACGGGGGGCATTAAAACGTTAGATAATCCATCCCCCCCCCACCCACTCACACCCACCCTTTCTTTGCATCGTATAAACTTTCGCGGAATGATCTATCTCTTTGTTTTTTTTCCTTGTCATTTTCTTCTTCTTCTTCTTCTTCCTCTTCCTCTTCCTCTTCCTCTTCCTCGTTTATTTTTGTTCTTTTTGTTTATTTCCACTTTCGTTTAATTATTTTCATTATTACTGTTAGAGATTGGTTGATGATTAATTAAACCGTTAGATAATAACAATCTTTGGTGACATGCATCGTAGTCTTATTTCGTTTACCGATTATATTTGGTCGATCATGATTATTATTATTTTTTTTTTTTTTTTTTTTTTTATATAATGGAAGAAAATTCTACCAACACCACTATTCGCTCTATCGAGTTTTTTGTTTTTTTTTTTTTCTTTTTTCTTTTGCTTACATTTATTTCTCTCTTTCTCTCTCTCTCTCGCACGCATTATACAAACACGTTTAAATCACACTCCATCTCTTGCGCGCGCGCACATGGATTATTATTATTAATATTATTATTATTATTATTATTATTATTTATATCAATATTCACAAATTTTTTTTCCTATCAGGCTTGTTATCTCTTATTTTTTTTTTTTTTTCGAAGGGGGGGGGGCAATCGTAAAATTTGTACGGGGTCATTCTGATCTCAGCTGTACGATCGGACCTTTGAAGGAGGATTTTTTCTTTTTTTCTTTTTTTTTTCCCTTTTCCTTTTCCTTTCTTTCATACGAGAGAAAAAAAGGTACACGGTAAAATTTTCAAATTTGAAAAAAAAAGAAACTTATTTAAAAGGAAAAATAAATCAATCATTTGATCTCTTCGAGAGGAAGAAGAGAAGACACGAGAATTCATTTTTCATAGAATTTTCGTTTATCACGCAGAGAACAAAATTTGATATAGTTCGTTACAGTTCATTTCTTTTTTCCATATATAAAATCGTTTACATGGTTTATGAGTTATTATTATTATTATTATTATTATTATTATTATTATTTTTTTCTTTTTTTTGTTAATTTTAATTTTACCAGTTACACAAACGTGTATACGATAATTATCGTTAGTTTCGTTTTCGCGCACGAGGATCGATATTATAATATATAATTATATTCTACGCTACATTTTATTTATTACAATACGTCCGACCGTACGGCTTTCTTCAAATTACCCTGTACATGATTTATATCATATATATACACACACGTGCACGCATACATACATATACATATACGTAAGAACATATACATATATGTATATATATTTAAATGTTTGCATGTATATCTCTCTATATATACTTACATTAATATTTATATTATATATTTATTATATTTACAAAAAGTCGTTCGTTTTTTAATTGTTAATAATTAATATCGCAACCGTTTATTATATTATAACTTTATTCCTGAGTAACCATTCATAGAAGAGCCTGATTAAGAGACCCGCCTCCTGTTCCATTTATATTTTTCTTAGTTTGTTAAATAATTTTTTATTTATTAATTATTTAAATTTATTAATTTCATTTTATTTATTTATTTATTTCCTTTTTTTTGTTAATTTCTTTTTCCTCTTCTCTCTCTCTCTCTCTTTCTGCTCACGATGTTGAATATTTATTTTTTTTTTATTTCATTTAAATATTTGTTTTGTTTTGTGTGTGTTTAAAGATAAGGAACCGGCGTAGCAAAATGACAAAAATGAATTTCCATCTTTCATCTTGTCTATTTTTTTCTTTTTCTTGTTTTTTTTTTTTTTTTCGTTTCTTTTCCCCCACTTCTTTCTTCATTTACATTTTACAATTTTATACGTAATTGTGTGTGTGTCTGTGTGTTATTCATTAGCGAGAAGGTGAAAAATTTTCATTCGACGAATAAAAGCGTCTTATTGTTAAGTTAGCGAATAACAGTTGGGTAATAGTATTCGTAATAAATAGAATTT